GACCAGCTCATCTGACTTTAAACCTCCTAAATCAGCAAGCCTATTGTAATTTACTTCTCACTCCATCACAACTGAAGCCAGAAGACTTCTTTCTTTCCTGCCTGTAACCTCAAGAGAAATGATGGAGGAACAGCAGCCTCAGCTTTGTCTTCACTGCTGCAAGAACTGAGCAAGACCATATGCTCAACTATGCCACATTCACGGGTCATTTATGCCTGGTTTTTCTTTAGCCAAGCTAAAGCATATTTTTATGAGGATGCTCAAGAACAACGTGTTTTCCAAGAGGACCTAATCTGCTCAGGAAGTAAACATCACGTCATCATCACTCAATTGCAGCTTCGCTATGAGAAGCAACTATAAATGACTACATTACACGGTTCTACATCTAATGCATCTTAATATCTTCACTGTAAAGAACGCAGATGCAAAAGGCTGTGCTCCTCAAACATCTCTGCACAGCGACTCTACACCTCCCCTTAGCTACTACCACATCTGCAACAGGCAAAATCTCAACAGCACAACAAATGTATCTTATAAAATCATTTGGACATACAATAGATAACACTTCATAACAGTACAAAATGCTGGGTCCTGGGAAGCAGCATCAATTATTAGCTAGCTAAGAAACAGCACTTCTGCTATTTTTCTTTACATTAATGGGTGTCAGTGGCTGAGCACTAAACAGAGAATGATATATGGGCTTAAGACAAATAAATTACCCGTTTTTGCCCCTCATATAAGATGATGTCCCTAAGGACTGCTTCTTCCCGTTTATGAGCCTGGTGCCTGGAAGTCTAGAAGGCCGAGATCAACATATGGCAGAGTCCGTCAGTGCGAGTTAAATGACTGCCTCAAATGCCATAAACTCCAGACCCCGCTTCCAGCGCCCCTCCTCGCTCACCAGCCCCGCCGGGCATTGTACCATATTGGCTCCTCTCGCCAGCACAGAATTTATCACATCTTGTTACTGCCCAACGAAAGCGGCTAAACAAGACCAAAAAAAATGCGCTAGAATGAGAGGAACGGCACCATAAATGATGTGTCATTTGAGGGGGGAAAAATGGCTTCACCTGAGCAGGCCTGAGATATAAATATATGCATATTCACGACCGGCCCGTCTGGTGCGTTCCGACCACAAATGCACTAGTTTAAAATAAATAAATAATTAAAATGGTGGGGGGGGGACCCCAAACAGAAAATAAATGAAGCCGAACAAGCACGCCGCTGGCGCAGGCTGGGGGGCCGCGGGGCCGGGGCTGCGCCGTGACAGCAGCAGCGGGCGAGGCCGCCCCCGCCCCGCCGGCCCCGCGCCCGCCCGCCGGGCCCCAACACCCCCGCACAGCCCGCAACGGCCCCGGCCCCTCCGCCGCCCCCACCCCCCGCGCCCCCTCACCTGGGCGGGCAGCAGGAGCTCCCCTTCCTCGGCTTGCCACAGCTCCACCACGCCGGGGATGGGCTCGATGGCTGCGGGGGCAGAGAGAGAGAAAGCGCGGATGGGCAGGGGGCGGGCGGGCGGCCGGAGCCCGCAGGCGGCGGCCCGGGGCTCCCCGCGCCGGGGCGGGCCAGCAGAGACGCGTGGCCCGGCGGGTGCCGCGGGGCCGGGAGGAAGGGAACCGGAGTCGGGGGCAGAGATGAGCCGCGTCCCGGCCCCCTTTGTGTCCCCGGGCTGCCACCGCGGCAGCCGCCCGAGGGACGGCGACGGCGGCTCCGCTCTCAAGCCCGGAGCGGGCAGTGCCGGCATCCCCGCCCCGCTTTGCCCCGCCGGTGCTCTCACCTTGTCCCTGCGCCTCCCCGGGCCGAAAGCAGGGCAGGAGGACGTGGAAGACGCCGAGCAGGAGGTTCATGGCCGCGGCCGCGCGGCAGTAGCCGCCGTGCTGCGGGAAGCGCAGCCCCGCCATGCCGAGCCGCGCCGCGCCGAGCTGCGGCTGGGGCGGAGCGGGCGGCGGCGGGGGCGGCTCCGCGGCACCGGGCACCGCCCCCGCCCGCAGCGCGGCTGCGCCCGCCCCGCCCCGCCCCAGCCGCGCACATGGCCCGGCAGCAGCGCGGCCGGCCCGCCGCTCCTGGAGGCGCCCCAGCCAAGTCCCCCGCAAAGCAAGAGGGAGGCGGGAGAGGCGTTGTGGGAAAGACGGATCGGTTTTGTGTAGCTCGGCCGTGCGGTCGGACGGCGAGCTGCCCTACACCCCGCCCGCCCTTAGGCCCGTGTGAGATGTCACCGCGCCGGGGTCCGGGGCTCCCCGGTGATTTTTAGAAACAAAAAAGCACGAGAAGTGCGAAGGGAAGAAACCAGGATGCCGCGCGGAGGGGGAGGGGAGAGCGCAGCGAGGAAGGCGGGGGCGTGTAGTAGGGGGAAGACAATCAAAGTCCCCGATCTGGTGGTCCTATTGCACAGGATCGTTAGGACCGGAAGGAATCTCTGCACATCATCGAGTCGACCCCCTGCCAAGGCAGGGTCATCTGGAGCAGGTGACACAGGAACTCCTCCAGATGGGTTTTGAAGGTCTCTAGGGAGGGCAGCCTCTTCCAGTGGCACCAGTCCGGTTAATCTGCCTCAGTATTCCTTCACTGCTTGGCAGCACTATATGTTGAGGGTCCCTGCTGCTGTTCTGACGGAGCAGTGTTTTGGTCTTAAGCAACTCTTCAGGTGCCTGTTGGATCTCTCAAGGAATTATACAGTGTTCGCAAAACAGAAGTGTAGAACAGAGCCCAGAGATAGTTGTGAGGGTCACATGGTTTTAACATGTATTTCACATTCCCTTCTAACTGCATTTTAAAGTGCTTTTAAAAAAGTCCTTTCTGCTAAAAAAAAAAAAAAAGCCCCCTCAGATGCCTTAATTATGGGAAAAAACAGTTGTTAAACTAGTTCTGCAAACCTCAAGGAGAAAAGTAAAGCAAATACCCTGCTAACAAGGTTTGCACAGGCCCCAGATTGCATCTGGTTCTCCCCTTACCCATCACACATAGTAACTCACACAAACACTGGCAGCATGGGACTCGGTCAGCAGAGGCTCATAAATAAAGCTAAAGAAATGACAAAAACCATTTTTAGCCCTGAACTGAGACAACACATGAGGACATTTGGGACCTTGGTCCCCAGCGGTGGTGGGTCACCTGCCCAGTGCCCTTTCTACTCACTGCTTGAAAAAGCTTTTCCCACCCAGAGACCATTCAGGTTTGACTGGAGATGCAGGTGGGTCTCCACAAAAGAAGTGCCCACTCTCTTCTTAAAGGAGAAGACTTTGGCATTTGATGTTGCACAACCACCAAAGTACAGCGGGCAACGCAGCCTTGCCTCCTGCCCATATCCTCCTCTTTCTGTCTTCTCTTCCCTCTTTTTCCTGCTCCCTAATGGTTACACAGGTCTTTTGTTTTCCACGCTGTCCCCCTGTGTCCTTAACCTCATTGCCTGGGCTTTCCCACATATGGGCAGAGGAACACTGGCACCCCTCCACCTGTGCCCCAGAGCACCCCAGGGCTTGCAGAGAAACACAGCCTTTCAAAATAGGAATGGTTGGATGTTTCTGTGTCAGCAAACGTGTCTATGCTTGGACAGGTGCCTGAGTACCTGCTGTAGAGAAAAAGAGAGTACCTCCTCCTATATGACAACCCCACCCAGGGGCTGCATGGCACCATGAACGTGCTGTGCATTCAGTAGGGAACAGTTCCCATTGCTTCTGCAAACAACTGGTTCCAGTTGGAGTAGTCGTTAGAGCTGTAGAGTAACATTATTTTAACTTACTAGCTTTTCTTGATGAGTTTTTAAAACGTTGTGCCAGCATGAGCTGATGATTTTTTGCCTGTCTGAAAGTCAACTCCATTTTCAGTGCCTGCAGGAAGGGGTCTGGCAGGGCACAGCTTGGGGTTTAAAGGGAAACTCCTAGACAGTCTTGGTTTAACTAAGCAGGTTTAAAAATGTTAAGTGAGAGAGTTGGCCTGAGCTGCAATCCAGGTTGGGACAAGACTCACCCTGGAAATGCTTCCCCCTTGCTCTGTGTAAAGCAAGGGACATGTTTGCAGCTTTGGAAAGGGCTGGGGAGCAGGGGAACCAAGGCTTTCTACAGTCATGGTAGAGCCACTTTTACCAATCTGAACAGCAGAACACTTTGCTTTCTGGAGGCTTTTTCAGATGCAATGGGCACGACTGGGAGGAAATCAGGGCCACGATGTGATTGCATGGGGAGCATGGATACTTGTTGTGTAACAGGCATCAGAGGGGAGCAGGCAGCCGAATTACATTGCTGCTCCTGTGCCTCTGTGCATCCCTTTACCAGCAAAATATACCTGAGACTGTTCCTCAGGTGTGAGATGAGATGAGATGAGATGTACCTGATGCCATGTATGTGGAAATGCTCCATTTTAGAGCAACCTCGCTCCTCTAGTCTGACTGCAGATCCACAGGTGAAAAGGAGCTTGACGTGAAAGGGGAAACAAAGGCTGCCTGGCAAGTCCCTGCTGGCCCTATTTGATGGGCTACCATGGTACTTTTCTGTTCCTCAGAAAATACTGACTAATCTGGAGCGAATGGATTCACCCCACTCACCGGGCAAAGCAAACAATTGTTAAAACATTTGGATGAAGAACTTGTTGGATGATGCACTGGGGGGGCATGGTCCAACTTGTGAACCTGGTGCAGTACCTCCTGCTCTCTGCAAACATGACACTGCTCTTCGAAGCTCACAGACCTATTGATGATGCTGTTTTCCAGCTAGAGAAGATTTTCTTGAGGCTGTAGACACACTTAGTATTCATGCAAAACAAATCCCTGTGCTGTCATACTTTAAAATCTTTGACTTGTTTTTTCAGGAGTAGGATATGCTGCTGAAATACTTATTTTTACTGTTTGCCTTGCCCTTGAACTACAAGGAATAGGAGCTAAGTTTTACCTACAGCAGCCTGGAAATAGTGCTGTAAACTTCTGCAAATCATAAAGCACACAAAAATTAATCCAGCCCTAAATGCCATTACAAATCCCCATTACTTGCAACATGGGAATAGTTACTTACCTTTCAAAAAATGTGAGACTTTACAGAAACTCTAGGCAGAATTAATTTCTGGGGGAACTGAGCCCAGCAGAAGACTTTATAGTATGCAATCATATCATTTGCAGTCATGTATTGCACCACATGCAGTCAATGCTCCACATAAGTTGAGCATATTTAGGTATTTCAATTAGGTGCAGTTGGAGAGGCAGTATGCACTGAAGGTGGTATATTTTTCTTTTAAAAGCCCCAAGAAAGTGGTCAGCTCACTCTGCAGTGTTACCTTCACCTTGCCATCCCCAGCAAGGAAACCAGCAGTGACAAGCCCCACTGGCATGAGCTGATATGCCCACCCTGGGGTCTGCATCAGGCTCCAGTGGAGCTCAGGGCCTGTCCTCCTCCCCAGTGGCCTTCCTCCCTTGCCAAGTTCCTCTTATCAGCCCCATGGCTACACATCCCCACACCCGGGGCCAGCCCTATCAGCAAGTGCAGCACTGGGCAGTTCCCCTGATAAGGCTACAAATCCCAAAGAGAGATCGAGAGGTGATAACGCCTTGCCTTGGGTCATCTCCTCGCCCAGCTAGCTCATTCTTCCCCAAAGGACACCCAAACACCCCTGCTGGGTGATCAGAGCGTCCACCAAGGGCTCAGTCCCACACAAGGACAGCCAGGTCCTTCAAACCTGAGCACACACCTATGTGATCCCCAAAGACCAGCTCATGGCTGAATGCACAGGAAGGGGAAAAAAAATTAGCGAGAGAGAATCTGGCAGGGTACAGCCATAAAAGTCTGCTCGGTTGCCCGCAGGACAGCTGAAGATAAGCAGCCCTCCCTTTTCTCCCTGGCATTCTCCCCGCTGCCTTGCTTAGCCAGCCGGCGTTCTGGGAGCAGGCACTCTCCCTCCAGCTCCAATGTTTGTGTAACTCCCAGCAGAGCGGGGCTGCGATCTCCGCCAGGGCCCCTCTGCATCATTAGAATAATAAAACAGTACGGGAACAAGAGTTTCTCTCTTCCTTCTGGTGACAATTACTGTCCTGCGCTCCACCACTGCACGCTCCCCCATTCCTAGCAAAGATTCTTAGCGAAGATTATGAGTGCAGCTCGAGCTGGGCTGAGCCTAATTCTTTTAAAGACTAATTCAGCCTGATAAGAGTGTCTGGGACAAAGCCTGCCCTGGCAGCGTAATTAAAGAAGTACAAATTGTTTCTAAAACCACACGCTGGCAGAATTTTTACAATTAATGACCAGTTGTTTCTGCTGAGGCTTGTCAGGGAGGAATCGCTCTCGTCTTACGCGTCCGATCTGGGTCAGCAGCCCATCCATCGCCTCTTTGAGGACGGGAGAGCGAACAGGCAGCGGCACTGCCCCAATAAGCTGTTAATGACACCGCACTCATTACTGCGGATAACAAACATCTTGTTTCTAAGCAGAATTTTTGCCAGCTCGCTTTGACTTTCTAGGTTGTTATTAAACACAGACAGAAAAATAGGGTGCTTACCTGGCCTACTTTTTTTCATTTTCCCTCTTCTCATGCATTTTTGATAGAAAAAATCTGCATGGTAAAGGAAGCATCTATATGATCACACAGAAGGTTTGATGAACATAGAACAATATTAAGTTATTTGAATGGTGCAACTTCTGAAATATTGACAAGAAAAGCATAATGGTTAAGTGATCTATTAAAAAAACCCCACTTGCTCTAGAATCCTAAGTATACATACATACATATATATATATCTCCCAAACTCCTCTGTGTACTGAAGAAGAAAGGATAGTAAATATTTTTATTTTTAAAAGCACTGTTACCATTGTGGTATCAATCAAATGCTAGGTAATTAAAAAAATATGCTGATGTGCTCTGTCCTTTCCTTGCCCTGCTCTGCCTACATTTTTTAGCACATACACTGCATCCACTTGAAAGCGTGGTGGATCCTTGCACACAGCAGGATTTTGCAGTCTCCTGCGGGACCCACCATGTTACAATAGCGTTCAAAGCTTTATAAGCTTCATTTAGTTTCAGCAAGCCTGCTGGAGCATTGTCTGTGCTTAAAGAGGCATTTAAAACTAAAGCGAAGCTTTGAAAGCTTCAGAGACAATGACGCTGGACTCCCTAAACCCATGAGTTCACTGCACGGTTTGAAGTGATGGCATCATGTAGAAAACATGACACGCTGCTCTGAGAGCCTGGCAGTACCTAGGCACAAAAGAGGAGGGGGAACAGAAAATCTGGGGTGCCCACTGAGTTTCTAGCACTGAAGGTCACGCCTGGACTAAAGGGAAGAAAAGCATTCTAAATTTTTTTCTGCCTTTGAGATTTGTACCTTCGCATATTCATTCTCTCGTTCTGGAATGATTTCTAAGCCATTGATATGTGTGTTTCTAAGCTGTTATGAATAAAAGAAAACAACAGCCAGAGCGCACACAATAAAAACAAGGCAGGATGCAGCAGCCATGCTTCCACAAGATGTTCAGCTTTTGGTCTAGGTGGTTTGCACATCCATGGACTGTTCAAAAGGCAGCATTTAATGCAGAACTACACTACCTACAAGCTCAGGGAAAGAGCAGTAAAACAGGCATCAGTAAAACTGGTTTCCCAAACAGGCACTCATTTTTCAATGTACAACCCTGCTTGTCACCATTTCTAGGCAAGAGCAGGCAATTTGTATAACCACAGTGAGAAACTGCATTGGTAACATCTCAAGGTGAGAGGAAAAGATCCTATTGAATCCCAAAAATAAGCATCCACCCTACCCATGCCACCTCACTCAGGTGGTGAAGGTTACAGGTATTCTTGGGCTGCAGTGGCATGAAGTCCCCATTCCTGCCTTGTCAGGCTTCCCTGGCAAAACCCCCAATGCTCTTGATCACCAGGGAAAATGATGAGGAGAGGGAGACCCCCACAAAAATGGCAATGATCCATGTAAAAACAGGATGCCCATAAGTAGGTTGAAAGGACAGTCTGTAGCAAACAGGTGTAATAAATACCAGCTTTGTAAAAAAGCCACGGTGCCTGAGCAGGTTTAGAAATAAAACAGTAAAATAGGATTTCACAGCATGACAAATGCTGTTCAGTAATGGCTGGGCACATCTCAGCAGCACTCAGAGGCATGTTATGTCTCACAGGCTGCATCTCATTCCTAAGACCACAGTACTTCATTGGGGCACAGCTGCAGGCAAAGCTCGATGGGCTGGAAAAGGACATGGCGTGAGCCACGGCAGAGTTACCATGTGCCTAATTTTCAATTTTGATAGCTACAGAAGGTTTTACTGGGGGTAAAATGTAGTCTTATTTAACCTCAGTCCTCAGCCCAGTGGAGCCATTTTTCACTGCAATTGAAAATAATGAACATAAACTAGTTGGAGGCAGATAATGGGCATGGGAAATTTGAGCTCAAAGGGGTGAAGCCTGGACAAAGTGTAAAGCAACCGGAATCAGTTTAGTACCACAGCATGTCAGAAAAAAACACAGCTGTCAAGAATGCAGCACTTCCACATGTGTGCAGATGCTCTTAATGGAGGAAGATGCACTGATGACATTGAAAAAACATAGCACAAAAGTAAAACACATTTAAAAATACACCCAAATTGGAAACAGTACTGTTAGAAGCTTACTAAAACACGGTAAAATATTGCTGTAGCTATTTTTTTAAGTCCTGAAGTGTTACTATAACAAAAATAAACATGCTGATGAAATATAAGAGAACAGCAATGCCAAACTCCTGGAGAAGTGAATGGCAAATTTGCCAGAGCTGTGCTTCCAAGACTGCCTCCACATCCAATGGTAATGGGTCACAGATGTTCTCTTTTCACAAAAAGAAGTTGAATGTGTTTATTTCTTTCATGGTACCGGCCAGAGGGCAGTTAGGGGAGCAATTGGAAACCTGTGAGTTGCAGTTACTTGATTGAATAATCTGTTTGAAAAAAAGATGTTGCCGTGCAAAATTCTCCTCCCCCCTCCACCACCCCCCTGCCAGTTTTGACAGCACATAAGAGTTTCATTTCCATCCAAAACTGAGAGGGAAATTTAGGTAACCCAAAACAACGTAATGTACGCAGTCTGTGAAGTACCAGGGATTTTTCAGGCCACAGACATAAGGCCACCTTTTTTTTTAACATGCCCAGAGAATCCAGGGACCTGGTTGCTGCCCAGCTCAGTGCCAGGGCATCATGATGCACATGCAGGTCAGGCTCTCCAACTGCAGCCAGGTTCCCTGCCTGCTGTGTGAGAGTTGCCATGAGGAGGGATCCCCTCTGGGCATGGCTCACCTATCTGCTGAAAACGTGTGTGGCTGCAGCCACCAGCTTGTCACCAAGTGCTCTCCTCCAGCACCTAGTTCTTTCCTCATTTAGGGAAAAAAAAAAGCCACAGTATAATAAAGGAGAAAATAAATCCCTCCCTGAGGACAAGGGGTGCTATTACAAAGCCTTCCTGATCACCCCAAAGCATTGGCATTTAACAGTATTCATGTCAAGAGTGGTTTTAATGTGGGATGAGGAGAAGCGCTGCCTTGCACCCAGGCTGCATGGGCAGCAGTGGTGTGGGTGACAGGGTACTTAGAGCAGTACAACTCAAATGACAAGAGGACAACAAAGCTGATGGTTCCCATACTCAACCCACAGCATGAACAGTTCTTTCTGGATACCTACACTGCAGAGCAGTAAAATCTAGGCAGGAGTGGAGCATCTCATGGCACTTCTGCAATACAGGGTATTGAAGTGCTCTCCAGAGGCCCAGCTCCATCACCACTGAAGTCAAACATCATGTGTAAATGTGGGATGCTTCTTCAAGGGTGGCAGGCATGGGTGCCCAGTTAGAGACAAGCTTTCCCCCGAGGCACAAAAGAGACCTGAACCCTGAGTGGTACCCACAGACAGCTCAGCCAAGGGTAGGGAGGCAATGCTGGGACAGGAGCCACATGACTCCCCTCACCTGACATGGTCTGGTTGCTGAAGGAGTCTCTGCAGAAGCCTTAGTCACGTGCAGACCCCAGAGCACCTTGGGGAGAAGAGAGGCCCAGGCTGTCCTGGGAAGAGCTGAAAGAGTAATATTTCTGTTCAATTCCTATAGCCAGGAATCAGCCTAGATATTTACAACTTTCTAATCCACTTTTGAATGCTGCCTAGAAAAGTGCTGCAGAAAATCAGGAGATCTGAAAATTTTGAAGACTTACTTTATTTCCCAGGGAGCAATTTTAGGCTTGTTCGTTTCTTTTCACAGAACATCTGCAATTCCCTGCAACTGTAATTTCTATCATTGTCTTTCAAAAATGACACTTGTACAGCCTCCTTCCAAATAATTGCAGGAACTTTGTGTTCATTAGGGGAGCATATTTTTAATGCACAGGTCTTCAC